GTTCTAAAAATCGACCTTCCATATGACCCCGCAACCCCCCTACTGGGAATATACCCGGAAGAACTCAAATCACTCTATTAAAAAGATACCTGCACACGCAGCATTGTTCACAACAGCAAGAACATAGAACCAACCGTGCTGCCCATCAAAAGAGGACTGGATAGGAAAAATGTGGTACATATACACAATGGACTATCACACAGCCATATAGAAGAACAAAATCATGAACTTCGCAGCAACCTGGATGGACTTAGGGTCTGTAATACTGAGTGATCTTTCACAGAAACTAAGAACTGAGTATCACATGTTCTCACTCATAAGTGAACCTTGAACAACTATTGTAATACTATAAGAAAAGGACTGACAGCAGTAGGAAACTGCAGGATCATGGGGGGCGGTGGTGAGGTGGGATTGGCAGTAGTGGGAAACTGCCTGGGGAAGGGGTGGGGCACACCTCATCAACAAGGGTACCTGCACAATGAATATTTGTACACCTAACCCTGAACTGTACCCCACATTTTCAAAATAAAAAATTTCAAGGTGAGAAAAAAAAAGAGAGATGCTTTAAAATGAGATGCTCAGGGGTTGGGCGCAGCGTCTCACATTTGTAATCCCAGCACTTTGGGAGGACAAAGTGGGAGGACTGCTTGAGCCCAGGAGTTCAAGACCAGTCTGTGCAACATAGGGAGACGCCATCTTTTCAAAAAGTAACATAACATGATGATGTGATATAACATAACATAACATGAGATGTTCAGACTGCAACCCAAAACCAATCAAAACAGAATCTTAGGGAGAAAAGGACCTGGTATTTCTGTTTAAAACAAAAAAATCTCCTGTAGTTAAGATGCATGGTCAGCCAGGATGAGAACTATGAAAAAGAAAGGCTACTATGTAGGTTTAGTAAAAAATACCTTGATCTGTTGTCTCCGTAGCATGGCGAGTTCTCTCATGTCTCGGAATGGCTGGAGTAAATACTGATAGAGTTCTGTTGTGGCTTCTGCCAGGCTGCTATAGGCTTCATCCTCCATCTGATACAAGTCCAGAAGCTCAACCATGCTCTCTGTATTCTTGTGCTTATCCAAGAGCTATGGAACAAGAAAGTTTCGTTACTAAGAAGATCGATCATTAACAACATAAAAATACTCCCTTTGAACTTCCTCCTGATCATCTCAGGGCCTTGGGACTCTAAAAACATAGAAAAAACGGAGGAACTAGAAGCACTGATCGCTTTTCATCATTATCCCCATGCCTCAGATGTCTCAGTACTCAAGATCACTGCCTGAATCGTTCTTTGGGGACTTGATACCATCTACCTAGATTTAATACTTTAAAAATGCTCCCACCATTTAGTAATCTCCAAATTTATCTAAAAAACAAGCTACTTCATTGTTACAGAGTAGTTTATCAGCTCTTGCCGATATTATCTTACCAATTTCCCCCAAATCTTCTTTCCACTCCTTTCCTCATACCAATTTGGAACATTTCCTTATTAACTTTCTTCAATTCCTGCCTAACAGGCAATATGGTGGCTCACGCCTATAATCTCAGTACTTTGGGAAGCCAAGGTAGGAGGACCATGTGAGACCAAGAGTTCTAAATGAGCCTGGGCAACACAGCGAGACCTCTCATCTACAGAAAAATTTAATTAACTAAAAAAAAAATAGCCAGGATGCTGGGTATGGTGACTCATGTCTGTAATCTCAGCACTTTGGGAGGTAAGAGCAAGAGGATTATCTGACCCCAGGGGTTTGAGACCAGCCTGAACAACTTGGCGAGATGTCATTTCTACAATAAATAAATTTTAAAAATTAGCTGGGAGTGGTGACTTGTGTCTGTAGTTCCAGCTACTTGGAAGGCTGAGGCAGAAGGATCGCCTGAGCCCAGTAGGTAGAGACTGCAGAGGCCATAAGCGTGCCACTGCACTCTAGCCTGGGTGGCAGAATGAGATTCCAACTCAAAAAAATAAAATAAAATTTGCCAGGCATGGTGGTGCACGCCTGCAGTCCCAACTACTTGGGAGACTTGAGGCAGGAAGATCGCTTGAGCCCAGGAGGTAGAGGCTGTGGTGAGCTATGATCAATCAATCCTCATCTCTGCTGAATATACAGATATTATCAACTCTCTTAAAATTATTTGGTACTTGTGTATGTAAGTGTGTGTATGTTCATTCATTTATTTATTCCTCAACAAATACTGACTGAGCAGCTAATACATGTTAGGCACTGGCCTACAAGCTGGGCATATGAAAACACAATCATGTTTGCATGGAATTTATAGTATAGTGAAAAAACAAATAATTTTTTAAAAATTTCAAACTGTAATAAATATTATGAAAATTATAAAAGTTTTAAAAACAAGGAAAGTAATATAGTAAAACCAAGGGTCCTACAAAGAGATGGGGAGAGAGAAATTATGACTTCATTTTGAATGGAGAAAAAAGGCGACCCAAAGAAGCTTAATTTAAATAACTGAAAGAACTATGCAGCAAGACAATATTTACTTTTTTTTTTTTTTTTTTGAGTTGGAGTCTCACTCTGTCGCCCAGACTGGAGTGCAGTGGCCACTTCCGGTCACTGCAGCCTCCATCTGCTGGGCTCCGGTGATCCTTCCGCCTCAGCCTTCCGAGTAGCCAGAATTACAGGCGCGCGCTACCACGCCCGGCTGATTTTTTGATTTATTGTAGAGATGAGGTCTTGGTGCCCAGACAATATTTACTTATTCTTGGTCTCTATCTACCTGATGACAGTATTTTCTCCAAATGCAAAAAATTTATTCTATTCTTTTTCAAACCTACAGTTTGGGCTATCTTCCTCCCTACTTTTTAACTTTTAGGTATTGTATCAGTTTGTGCACATAATCATGATAAATTTAGACTTTGGATTCATTTCCTGCCCAGGTTTTAGGCACAAAGTTATAGTAGCATTTACACAGTTTTCTGCCTACTGTGTAATCCGCAAGCATAAATCAGATCATCTACATTACAGTACTTTTAAAACAAAGAGTACTATATAAATATTAGCTATAATTTGTTTTAACTATTGTAATCCCAACTTTCAAAGCTAATATGGAGAATTTCCACTTCTCCAGGGTTAGCTGAGTAGTTCTATCAGACCAACCCTGGTGCAAAATGTTACAAAACAACTACCTAGAGGTACTATGGAGTGACCAAGGAAGGTACAAATTGGAAGGGACTCCTTGGAAGTAGAGAAGGTTCCAAGTGATATTTTACTTCATGGCTTCCAGCCTAACCTAAGGGGATGTCCCGGTGGGTGCCAAAAGGAGGGGAAAGTGTGGGCAAAACTCAGATGCCTAGTCTTTCTGGTTTAAAGAATCTGGCCAGGCACAGTGGCTCACACCTATAATCCCAGCACTCTGGGAGGCTGAGGCAAGAGGATTGCTTGAGTCCAGAAGTTCGAGATCAGTCTGCGCAACAGAGCAAGACACCCCAACTCTACAAAAAAATTATAAAAAGTAGCTGGGTGTGGTGGCACATGTCTGTAGTCCCAGCTACTAAGGAGGCTGAGGCAGAAGGATCACCTGATCCCAGGAAGTTGGGGCTGCAGTGAGCCATGATTGTGTACCTGCACTCCAGCCTGGGTGACAGAGTGAGACTCTTAACTAAAAAATAAATAAATAAATAAATAAAAATTAGCTAGGCATGGTGGTGAGCGCCTGTAGTCCCAGCTAATTGAGAGGCTGAGACAGGAGGATCACCTGAGTCTAGGAGATAGAAGCTGCAGTGAGCCATAAGCATGCAATTGTACTCCAGGCCTGAGTGACAGAATGAGACCCAGTCTCAATCAAATAAAAATAATAAGAATCTCAGGTTAGAATTCAGGACAATCACAGCAGCAAGTAAGTGAGGGGACGATGCTGAAAAGGAGTCAGTCTAAGAGGAGAAACCCCAAATTCTTATATAAACTCTTCTCAAATCTCTGGCTGATCAATGGAACTCTACATGTATAGGACAGGCTCTAAGCAATCCAGACAAAAAAATATTTCATCTGCTGCCTCTACAAAGTAAGCAGAATTTGAAGTTTGAGTCCAATCAACTTTACTGTCTGCCAAAAACAAAACCATAGAAACCAACACTCTCTGGAGAAACATTACAGAATCCAGAGATTCTACAATGTATTGTTCACATGTCCAGGATATAATCCAAAATGATTGGACCTATAAAGAAATAGAAAAACAAAACTCAGTACTCAAAAAGCAATCAATGGAGCCCAACCATAAGATGAAACAGATATAGATTTAGCAAAGATTTCAAAGCAGCTATTACAACAGTGATGCCAATAGACATAAAGGAAATGTGTTCAAAAAGAATAGAAAATTTCAAAGAAGAAACAGAAACCAATAAAAAATTAAAGGACATCCTAGAACTGAAAAAATAACTATCTAAAATTTAAAAATACACTGGAGGGGTACAGAATATAGCAGTAGTGACAGTAAGTGAACCTAAAGGTAAATTACGATGTAATCACGCCTGGAATCTCAGCACTCTGGGAGGTGGAAGTGAGAGGAATGCCTGAGCCCATGGGTTCAAGACCAGCCTGAACAGCATGGTGAGACCTCGTCTCTACAATAAATTAAAAAACTAGCTGGGTGTGGCGGTACATGTTCCAGCTACTGGGAAGTCTGAGGTGTAAGGATCACCTGAGCCTAGCAGGTTGAGGGTGCGGTAGCCGTGAGCTGCACGCCACTGCCCTACAGTCTGGGCAACAAAGTGAGACTCCAACTCAAAAAAAAAAAAAAAAAAAAAAAAGAAAGAAAGAAATTATCCAATTTGAAATAAAAGGAAAAATAAAAATGCCTCAGGGATCTATGAGGTCTATTAAAAGGTCTTAACGTGCACTTAACTGGAATTCTAGAAGAAGAGAAAATGGGTCATAAAAAATATTTCAAGAAAAATTCCACACTTGGTAAAAGACATAAATTTACATATTCAGGAAGTGTTGATAATCCCAAGCATATAAATGCAAGGTTACCCACAAGTACGCTTATCAGAGCCAAAGTACTATAAATCAAAAATAAAAGTGAATATCCTGAAAACAGCCATAGAAAAATAACACATAAGAGGGACAAATAACCTATTTAATAAATGGTGCTGGGAAAACTGGCTGATCACATGCAGAAGATTTAAACAGGACCCCTACGTATCACCATACACAAAAATTAACTCTAAATGGATCATAGACCTAAATGTAAAACCTCAAACTGTAAAAAACTTAGAAAATGCAGGAGACAGCCTTATGGAAATTGGAACTGGGAACCAATTCCTACTCAGAACCCTAAAGGCCAATACCTTAAGAAACAAGATAGACAAGTGGGATCTCATCAAATAACAAGCTTCTGTAAAACAAAAGAAACCATCAAGAGAGCAGGGAGAAAGCCCACTACAGAATGGGAAAAAATATTTGCCAACTGTATATCTGACAAAGGCCTAACATCTAGGATCTACAAGGAACTCAAATGCATGGAAAGGAAAAAAACAAACAGTCCAATTAAAAAGTGGACAAAAGACATGAATAGACACTTCTCAAAAGAAGATATACTGGCAGCCAACAGACACATGAAAAAGCACTCAGCCTCACTCATCATCAGAGAAATGCAAATGAAAACCACATTCAGATACCACCTAATCCCAGTAAAAATGGCAATCATTAATAAAACAAACAACAACAGATGCTGGCGAAGATACGGATAAAGGAACGCTTCTACACTGCTGGTGCGAATGCAAACTAGTGCAACCTCTTTGGAAGACAGCGTGGTGATTTCTCAAAGAACTAGAAATTGACCTTCCATATGACCCAGCAATTCCCCTATTGGGAATATACCTGGAGGAACTCAAATCATTACAAAAAAGATACCTACACAAGTGTGTTGTTGCAACTCTATTCACAATCGCAAAAACATGGAACCAACCACGTTGCCCATCAAAGCTAGACTGGATTAAAAAAATGTGGTACATATACACAATGGAATATTATGCAGCAATAAAGAAGGGCAAACATATGGACTTTGCAGCAACTTGAATGGATTTAGAGGTGATCATTCTCAGTGATCTATCACAGAAACAAAGAACAGAGTACCGTATGTTTTCATTCATAAGCAGACCTTGAACAATTATTATAATACTATAAGAAAGGTATTGGCAAACTGGGAATC